CGGTCGGGAACCTATGGCTCGCGAGCCATATATGGCTCTTCTGGTGACGGCATATGGCTCCCAGACAATTTTGAGTTGAAAAAAAAATACAAAAATCAGTTTGGAACTGATTTTAAAATACTTGTGATATTGCTTAATAATACTGTGTCATTTTAAAGTTAACAGAAATTAGTTTTGAAAATAAATGTCACGGGTCACGGGGCCTCAACGCCTGCATGAAGCTCAACCTCACCACGTACGAACCAGACTACAAGGCCATTAGCAAAACCATGCAGCACCAGAAGTCGCATTAAAAGTAATACATATTTTATTTATTATACGTTAAAAATACTATATGGCTCTCAATGCAATATATTTAGAAATATTTGGCTTTTATGGCTCTCCCAGTCAAAAAGGTTCCCGACCCCTGGTTTAGGGGATGGGGGGGCGAGTGCTTCTAGCGTGTAGCACCTATGTAGGCTGGCACGATGCACGAGGGGGTGGTTGGCAAGCCCATCGCCCGGCCGCCTTTGTCTCCCCAGTACTGATGTTTGCACAAAGGCGAAGCCAACCTAGTGGAGGCCCAGAACCAGCTCAGATTTCACTCGCCACCGCCGACATGGTTGTGATATTAATGCAAGTTCAGAGATTTAATCGTCTATATGCAGTGACTGTATTAAACATATCCTGCTGGACGAGGGATTCCCCACGCTCATTGTATACTCGTATGTACATCGCTGTCAACCCGTACGGTTTACCACGTATTTTTGCACAGGGAAATTGAGTTTTCAGGTCCATACGGCGCCACAGCCGTTTCAATACGTGCTAACAGCATGTGTCTTTGTTTTTCTCCCTTGCGACGGGACTTTATAGGGTGAACGTTGAGATGCGTAAGGGGTACGGGGTGACCAATAAGGTCCGAATTGGTCAGTAATAAGGTAGGGCACTGATAAGGGGTTGACAGGTTTGTATGTTGAATTTCTTTCGCACCGTACGTCGCCTCCCGCGCTAATCGGAGGTGCGGGGTAGGACATATAACACATTCCTGCGGAGGGAGCTGGTAGGAACGTTGGGTTGCTCGGTCAATGGCCAGGGTCAACGGCGGCGTGGTGTATTTCGCAAATATGGCCGACTGTGAGGGCGGGCACAAGCCGGCGTGAGTAGGTTAAACGTTGAGTTTTATAAGGGCACCACGGGGTGACCAGCCCCTCCCCACCCAGCCCCACCCCTCCCACCCCCCACCCAGCCCCACCCTCCCCACCCTCCCCTTTCCACCCAGCCCCACCCCTCCCATTTTTGGATGCACGACAGACGGACGGACACAATAATCCCCTGTGGGCTGGTGTAACCAGGAGGTTCCTACCAGTAATATTTTACCATACAGGAGATCATCAATTATATCCACCGGACAATGACTAATTTAAAATAGCAAATTTTTGCACCTCCCTGCATAACGTGCTTTTAGGTGTTGTGCATATATTTGTGTGTGTGTGTTTGACATTCGTTTATTGTATGACATCGATGTAAATAAATAGGAAAAAAAAGTAATATCCTACTCTTAAAAAGTGACAGTACTTGCTGTAACTTTACCACTCCAATCTCGAAGACTCTGCAATCACGGGGTCGATGTGTACGCAGTTACTACTCCGCTCTCGTTTCAGCAAACTTGATGTGCGTTTTCCAATCGCCGGACTGGGTCACAGTTTTGGCAGGTTTCGCCGGATCGGCTACGGGACCGCCGCATCGCGTTGGAAGCAGTCGGGTCGTCGATGATCGACTAGAGTTCATCACAATGGTTCATGTGCGGTTGACGGCGGGAGTGCACACGTTCTTTCTAGATTTGAAGCTTCCGTGACTGCAAGGATTCATACTCTTAGTTCTTTCGGTAAAGTCACCAAGTAGGTAAAAAATTAAATAAAAATTAAATAAAAATCACGACGTTTCGGAGGCAACACAAGTCTCCGTCATCAGGTGGGACCGTCACAGCAAGTTAACTTGTATTTAAGAACTTGCATCTTGAATCCCTGCCTCACTTGATGCAGCAAATCTGGCTGTGACGGTCCCACCTGATGACGGAGACTTGTGTTGCCTCCGAAACGTCGTGATTTTTATTTTATTTTTATTAATTTTTATTTCATTTTTTTTATTTAAGAACTTGCATCTTGAATCCCTGCCTCACTTGATGCAGCAAATCTGGCTGTGACGGTCCCACCTGATGACGGAGACTTGTGTTGCCTCCCAAACGTCGTGATTTTTATTTTATTTTTATTAATTTTTATTTCATTTTTTACCTACGTGACTTTACCGAAAGAACTAAGAGTATGCACAAGATCTGTGACACTGCCTTCTACTGCTGACAAAGGCGTATTACACCTGCCCAGGAGCACATGCTGCGTGTGTGTGACCCGTCCATTCAAGCAATTATCCACGCTTCCGAGATCTGGCGATGTTGGGGGCAAGGGTTATATATGTAAAAACTAATTTATTTAAAGCTTTCGTGACTGCAGAGATTCATATTCTTGGTTCTTTCGGTAAAGTCAAAACAATTATTGTTTTTTATTGTTTTATATTTTTATAATTTTATTATTTCCCTTCTACGTGACTTTACCGAAAGAACCAAGAATATGTAAATTTAGTTTACTTTTCATATATTTACATATTAAATTGTTACAGTGTACAGTTACAACTGTGCCTTGTTTGCTACGATGGATGAAACGAGGTGAATCTGCTTTTGATTAAGTTTGGGATTCGAGATACACTTTTGTGACCCGAATTTAAAATGTTCAACTTTTTTAGTAATTTTCTAAATCTATTTTTTTAAATACCGTACAGCACATCTACTTAAAACAAAAGAGTAACACTTCATTTGTTTCATGATTAAAATGAAAGCTGTGTTTTTCTGAAGGAAAAAGTAAAATCTAAAATAAACTTTGTTATTCAATGCAAACATTAATTCTGGTGTGCAGGAGGTCGAGGGTTAGATCACGACCCTGACGCCTTCTGCTGTATATTTTGAGTTTGCATCTTTCTCATCATCATCACGGTGGCTAGGAGATGTTAAATCCCTCGCCCGGTGTGCAGGAGGTCGCTGGTTTGATCCAGACCCTGACACCTGCTGTATATTTGTAGTTTGCGTGTCTCTCTCCCGATGGTCACGTGGATTTTTTCTCTGGGTCCTCCGGTTTTTCCCTCCACATTTAGAAACATGCGTTCAGACTATTTAGAATATTTTGCTGCTATAAACGTCCAAATGATACGGCACTTTTTTGAGCCATCATTTGTGGCCAGATCGCTTCTTAAAAATAAGTTGATACCTCAATGGGCTTTGCCTGGTAGGATGGGGATGGTTTCGTTTTATTTGTTTATTTTTGGGTGATTTGTTTATATTTCTTCTACTTTGCACTCCCGACCGCGTTTTTGTACTGTTTGTTCTTGTAACATTCTTACCCCGTGCCCCTACTGGAAATCTGTGAAAAGAGCTTTATAGCTCATAGGATTCCTCCTGCAGTATAAATAAATATTCTGATTCTAAAATCATGTTTTAATAAAACATATATATCTAAACTGAAAGCTAAAGGAGTGGAAATTGCAAATGATCACTGAATGGGCACTGTATTCACAATCTATTATAAAAGCCCGGCGTTCCGTGTGTCCATCAACTAAATTATAAGAGCCTTTCAGAAGGCCTGAATCTAAAAGTTATAGATGTGGGGGTTAAAAGTTGATCCAACAAATTTACAGCAATTTTCGATCCCCCCCACTCCCTTAAAAAATGTATACCTTACATGCAATAGAGTCAGTATCTACTGGGTCAGTATCTACAATAGAGTCAGTAGTATCTGCACACTTGGGTGGGGGGAAAGAGGACATCAGTCGCGAAGTGTCGAGAAGCCCTCTGCAGCAAAAGTCGGATGGCAAAAAAATCCGGCCTATGGATCAACATCAGTGGGGAGGGACACGAGTGGCACGCTTGTTTCATATATACCTTGCGTTTGTGGGGGCGGGGTGATTCGTCGGTTACTAAATTAATAGTAACGTAGGAGTAAAACTTGTCTAAACATCTATGAATTCGAAATTAATTACTCCTAATTTCCCTGCGTCTGTGGCAACAGTTGTCACTGCCGCCTGGTACATCATCATACACACTAGGGGGCACACCATCCTTTGAGACACATTTTGACTAATGTAGCTTTGCAGTCATAAGTTCAAGTTCATTTATTAGGTGTAGCCCTGTGAGCCATTCGGCTCTTGAATCGGGTGCAACCGCAACAAACAGAAAACAAAAACATGAACAAGAAAACATCTTAAAGTGACTATGTACAAACAGAAAATCCAAGAAAAGACAGCAAAATATTGCAGAAAAAGCACCGTACACCAACGCTGTGTGCAAAAATCCCAGTGGGATGCAAGTCAAACAACAACAACAACAACCACAAAACAACTTAGATTAAGGCCATCAGTCTAACTCTGTACTACAACAAACAAATATGGCCAAACCAAAACACTTTCCGCAAAATCACCAAAATAAAGCCATAAAAGCAATGAAAGAGTGATCATAGGAACTGCGACCGAATTTTCACAATAAACGACATAAGCCTGAGAGAGACACACAACGTACGCTCGGGCACATTTACTGGACGGGATGTGATGCCTTGGATTGTGTAAGGCTGGGGGTGGCACTGTGGCGTGCATGTACAGCTCACAATCAGCGGGTAATGATTGTAATTCCTGGTTGAGGACGGCCAACCCATGATTCCACCCAAGGCTCAGAACAAATAGCCCACACATTTTGTAAAGCAGGCAACGAACGAAGCGGACAGGGTGCGGGGGAAGGTAAGTGGCACACCTATTGAGTGTGCAGTCAGGCGGTGAAAATGCACTCGAGGTCCATGAAGAGGGGTGAAAAATTGGACATGGGAGTGGGGGGGGAGTGGGGGGGGGGCCCATTTCATTCCTGGCACCAGGACCTGTGCCAAAACACGCAACGCCACTTCAAAAAGTTGAAAAAAATGCGTATCAAAGAAAGAGCTGGCGTGCCGGGTCGGAAGGAGGAAAGCAGGAGAAAGCTAGGTACCCGCTATTAAGACGTTTAACTTTACGGCGGACAAAACCAGATTGTGTTAGAATGCCTTAAGCGCTTGCGATGAGTGTGACACGTCCTCCGAGTGCGCCCGTGTACACGGGATGTGTGGGGTGCTCAAACGCGGCAAGTTGGGGCAAATGGGCCTTCTGCAGAGTTGTACGATGCTCGTGCGCGTTTGCGTAAATACAATGTGCATGGTGCCTCGCAACAACAACCCTTGCCTCATTTTCTCTCCCCACACTTTTAGTCTCGCAAATGCTATTCCGCGGACGTTTCTGAAGACCAGCGGCATCTGGGAAGCGCTATTTCTCGGATTGGAAATTGAGCTACGTGCAGATAAATTGCACCGTCTGCTCGAGCCGTGTCTGTCCTGTTGTTTTTAGGGCTATGGCAGTTGCATGCCTGTGTAACGCAATGACTTCAGAGGCACGTCCTGTAGAGGGCTTTTTCGATTTAAAGCTTTCGTGACTGCAGGGATTCATCTTCTTGGTTCTTTCGGTAAAGTCACGTAGAAGGGAAGTAATAAAATAATAAAAATAAAACATAATATTAATAATATTTTATTATGTTTCATTTTTATTATTTTAATATTAATGATATTTTATTATGTTTTATTTTTATTATTTTATTACTTCCCTTCTACGTGACTTTACCGAAAGAACCAAGAAGATGTAGAGGGCTTCTTTATGATTTCTAGATTTGAAGCTTTCGTGACTGCAAGGATTCATATTCTTAGGTTTTTTCGGTAAAGTCACGTGGGTAAAAACATTAAAAAGTAAAATAAAATAAAAATCACGACGTTTCGGAGGCAACACAAGCTTCCGTCTTCATTATATAAACGGAGTGGTAGCTCCTGCAATCTCTCATTTACTTGATACAGCTGTCGTGGCTGTGACGGTACCACCTGAAGACGGAAGCTTGTGTTGCCTCCGAAACGTCGTGATTTTTATTTTATTTTACTTTTTAATGTTTTTCTTTATGATTTCTCGTCGGCTTACTACTACGACTTAATGACACGGTTACAGGGTACCATCGCGCGATGCGGTGAGCGTCTTTGTTCGATGGCCAGCCACAAGTCGCTGCTGTTGTTGCGAAGATGATCGGAGTTTGCGTGATGATGGTTTATGCTCCTTAAAGGTGGGGCTCTGTCGGTAAGCCGTCCCAAGATATTTGAGTCAGATAAGTAAAACATTTTTGTGTAACTAGGTATATTTTTAATGTTTACCGTGACCCGCACCTTGTTCAAATCTGATGAAGACACTGAGTGCCGTTTGAGCTGGGTAAATTTACACAGACGCGTAGAACAGATTTTTTTTAAACGTAATTTCTTTCGACTGCTGTTGCGAGCCTCGGCCCCTTCTCCATATAGACCAGCGGTCGGGAACCTATGGCTCGCGAGCCATATATGGCTCTTCCAGTGACGGCATATGGCTCCCAGACAATTTTGAGTTGAAAAAAAAATCTGTTTGGAACTGATTTTAAAATACTTGTGATATTACTTAATAATAGTGTGTCATTTTAAAGTGAACAGAAATTAGTTTTGAAGATAAATTTCACGGGTCACGCCTGCACGCAGCTCAACCTCACCACGTATGAACCAGACTACAAGGCCATCAGCAAAACTATGCAGCACCAGACGTCGCAATAAAAGTAAGACATATTTAATTTATTATACGTTAAAAATACTATATGGCTCTCAATGAAATATATTTAGAAATATTTGGCTTTTATGGCTCTCCCAGTCAAAAAGGTTCCCGACGCCTGATATAGACAGTCGATGCCTGTGAATTTTATACAGACACTGCGAGAACTTTGGTTCCAAAAGAGTCGGTATTCAAACGAGCAACGTCATTACCAGTTCACATTTCATCAGCTACTGTTTGACCCCCACGCCCATTTGCGTTTCGATTATGTAACATTTCCCCTTAGTACACGGGGCTTTCAATTTGACTCGGTTAATGTCTAACTTGTCGACATTTTTGCCTTAGGACGGGAACTATTTTAAATCTTTCCAGTTTGGCAAAGGTTGCGTCTAACTTGTCCACAATGTTGCCTCTGCAAAGGCAACCATGCTAACCATTACCCCATTTGACAAGGTTATTTTCGATCCTGTCCATACTTTGATCCTCGTAAGGGAACCAGGCTTATTTATCTTTACTCTATGAGCGTCGTCAATTTCCTGACAGTGCTTCACCCTTGATTTGAAGCTTTCGTGACTGCAGGAATCCATACTCTTTGGTTCTTTTGGTAAAGTCACGTAGGTATAAAATAAAATAAATCACGACGTTTCGGGCACAACACAAGCGTCCATCATCAGGTGGAAAAGCATGGTCTGCTGCTGAGGCAGACTGTTTTAAAAAAAAGCAGACTATGCTTTCCCACCTGATGATGGACGCTTGTGTTGCGCCCGAAACGATGTCCGGCTCTCCTGGGAAGTCAGCAAGCCACACTTTGACACCACCACCACCACCGCCACCCATGTTCCAAGTGTCACGTGACCTCATGAGGGCCATCATCTCGAGTTCGCCGAGGCCTTCACCTTGATGCTGCCTGCCAGTCTTTCGTATTAGCCGCTGTTGAGATGTCAACAACCTCGCCTGGTATACAGGAGGTCGTGGGTTCGATCCCGATCCTGACGCCTGCTGCTGTATACTTGGAGTTGGCACGTTCTCTCCGTGGTCGTGTGGATATTTCCGCGGGTGCTCTGTTTTTCCCTCCACATTTAGAATCACCGTGCGTTTAAAGTATTTGGCTGCTATACATGTCCACGTGATAAGCCACTTCGCTGAGCTATCATTTATGGCCAGGTCGCTTGTGAAAAAGGAGCAGTGGGGCCTTACCTGGTAAGATAAAACAAGCAACCGCTCGATGTTTGGAGGCAACAAAACTTCCCTACAAGGCACCACCGGGAGAGTCCGTGACAGAGTATCAACATTTCTTCTTCGTTTGAGACCTTAAAGACATCCGTGGCCCATGGGGGACCACATGTTTTCAGTCACTGGCTGTTCGCTCTGTCCGAGGCTCATGAGTGCCCAACGTTTTGGAAGAAAACGGCCTGAATCCCATAAACCTCTTTGGGGCCGGGCTGAACCATGGATCTGAAGCTGGAGGGATTTCTGACTCTAGATTTGAAGCTTTCGTGACTGCAAGGATTCATATTCTTGGGTTTTTTCGGTAAAGTCATGTAGGTAAAAATTTCAAATTTAAATTAATAAAAGTAAAATAGAAATAAAATAAAAATCAAGTAAATTGATACAGCAAGCGTGCTGTGACGGTTCCACCTGAGGACGGAAGCTTGTGTTGCCTCCGAAACGTCGTGATTTTTATTTTATTTTTTATTTTACTTTTATTAATTTTAATTTTTTACCTACGTGACTTTACCGAAAAAACCCAAGAATATGGGTTTCTGACTGAAACTCAGACGTCCTTTCGAGACTACTCGGGACAGGACACGCTGGTTTTACAGATGCTTATCTGTTTTGTTATTCACACGTTTCGTGTTACGATATATTTGCCGCTTGGGAGGTTATTAAAAAAATTGTTTGGGAAAACGTCATCTCTGCCTGACTGGTAGGCTCCTGAGTTTTGTGTTTTGGGAGGTGGCTGTAGCTTGCGAGAGTGGCTGTGTGTGGACCACAAGAGGGAATAATTTTAGGTCCAAGCATGACCAACCTCCACAGCCACCACAGGCAGACGCAGACCATCAGAGGTGGCAGAGGCCCCAGCAGGGCTGTTGAAGCGCAGGCCATGAGCGAGACACCGGGGGCTGCACATACGCCAGCAGGCAAATTGCCCAAAGCGGGCATGCTGGGGGGGAACCACGTGGGTCGGCGAGAGAGGCAGTCAGCCGTAGTGGCACCGTATCGGCGTGATTGGAATTATTGAGCTGTGGCAGCGGTAAATGAGCTCTTTCGGTGGTCTGCTCGTGCTATGCTGCAAGATTCGTGCCATGATTGTGTTGGGGGGTTTTTTTCCCCTCCCATGATCTCGCGACGCTTTGCCATGTCGCTCCCGTGATCAGCTGGGAGCCGTGCCGTGTGAAAGTTGAGGCTCTCCGCTGACTCACTGGGGCTGCCGCTGTGTGACGGCGCTTCCAGGATTTTTCCTTGAGGCCTGTGTTTGTGGACGGGAGGGAGGCGACTGGCATCGCTGGGACGCACAGTCTGTGTGTTTTGGGTGATGGGCTCGGGACGGTTTTGAGCCTCGTGTAACATTGGATTTTGAACTCATCGCTGTTTGACTTTCGACGGCGCTTCGCGACCCTGCGTGCAACGACGGTCTTGTGGTTTTTCTGCGCGCCGTTTTATCGTTTTGAGACGCAACGGCATTTTATCAATTACTAAGGGCAAGCCCTCCAGCATTTTGTCCTCAAAACCGCCCTTTCCATTCAGCCCCCCCCCCCGCCTTCTCCACCTGGCATGGGCTGGGGGTCTAAGCTGATTGTACTGGTGGGGAACGTCAAGGTTTCTAGACGAGGGATGGGTACCAAACATTGATAATTTGGTAATATGGATGTTTTTTTGTTCTGATACGTGGACGTTTTGATGTTGGCCCCACCGATACCGGTGGGGCCAACATCAATGTTGTTTCACGCTTTGCACTCGATGCGATAACGCCAGAAAAATATGCCGGCGTATGAAATATATTTGGGGCCCCTCTGCCAACATTTGTTTAACAGATGTAAATACTGTACTGTGGATAGGCTTCGTTTAAATGTTCTCGAAAGGAGATGCAAGTTTGCTGTTGGTCGAGTGTTGACCTTTCCACAACAGCCTTGTGCTTTTTAATAATTGTATTTTTGTAAATGTATTATTGGTTATTGTCCGTAATAAATACATTTGACTATTTACAATTTTTTTTCTCACAGTTAAATTGTTTGAAAATGTATTTAAACAAAAAACATCAAATGGGAAAACTAAATTATCATACCAATCTTGTAATGTATATTCACGTTTTAAATGTTTGATCAAATTGAGTGTGCAGTGTA